ATATTGCTGGCATCTGCACAGAGTATTCATTCTATAGCCAGTAATGATACTTCTAAAGACTTCGTAGTTCAAAGGCAAATTGGATTGAATCAGCTAGCTACGAGATTCTTGAGAAGATTAGCTTTGAAGGACTGGATGCACTTTTGCCCCAAAACACTTTTAAACCGGGTTTTTGTTGTTGGGATTTTGTGATCAAAAGTAACTCTTATACAGGGTGTGTGAAGGGAGTAGGGGAGATTAGTTTTAACTACCGCAGGTTGGGAAAAAGATAGTAACACTCTGATGGTATAGACTCTATTCCTGTGTGTGCACTAAACCACAAGGTATTACATTTCTTTGTGCAAATTATTTTTGTCATGTTGTAGGGACTCAGTCCAGTGTGGTTTGTAAATAGAAGATTAAGCTTTAATGATTATGAAAATGCAGCAAACTTTATTTTTTGCAATAAATTACAGTGAAGATCTAGCCTTGTTTACAGTGCTGGTAGTTTAAGAATAATAATCAATGAGCCATTTTGAGTTTTCTTTTGTAGAGTATATATGTTTGTGTAATGATAAAGGTGTAGGACTGGAGAAACCCAAGTTCAAATCTATCTTCAATTTATCAAGATAGACAAATAATAGGACAAGAAATGCTAAAGAACAATTTATCATAGGTGGTGTCCCAAAGGTGCTTTTTTTCAAGAGGCAACTTGACTTCCTGGTTTTTCTTTGAAGAACTTTCACTTCTCATCCAAAAAGCTTCTTCAGTTCTGACCTTTGGGACAACCATGACCTGGATGACTGAGAATCTCCATAGATATCATATGTGGTGGTTATGTAAAAATAACATCCAAAATACTTGAAAGAAATATATAAAGAATATTCAGAAAACTTTGAAAATAAAATCTGAACATATTTTTATTAGGTATAATCCTAGAAAACTTAAATGAGAAATATCACAATTTATCAAGATAGATGTTGACAGCAGCAAGAACATCTTTGGCAAAGCATTGAAAAAAAGGTCCTTACTAATGATACAAGATTGGAAGAGCAAAATTGAAAAATATGCAGCAATGTTATAATTGACAGTATATATCCAGTGTATATTATTACTATTAAACATCAGGACAAATCTGGAACATGGTTGCTAGAAAACAGTTATGAGAATAATATAGAAATCACAAGATGAAAGGTCCTTAAATAAATATTACCAATAATCTTCAATATTCAACATAAAGTATATTATAAATATATAGAAATAAATATTTAGGAAACAGAATGGAAGAATATGTTTTTTCATAATGTTTTTATTTTTATTTTTCCTTTAATTCATTCTATTGCCACTGTCTAACACAAACTTCTTTCCCCTTGTATTTCACTATTCTAATAAAGCATCTTTTAAAAAGTCTACCTTCACTGATAGAAATTCACTGGGGGACTGTCATTCACTCAACTCAAATCTATTTCACTATGTGGTTGTTGAGAACTAAAGGAGGCTATGCCACTTGGAGTTCCTGAAGGAAATGTAGCATATAAATCTAACAAATACTTCTTGTATCAGTCTGCCATTACTAGCAAAACATAACATGACAACATGACCTTATCAGGGCTTTTCTTAACTATGATCTATCAGGGTATTTTCTTTTACAAAACATTGTTTGCATTTCTGAACATAAAAATTAAATCCTTTTATTCTGCTGTTTCTTATCCAAGTAAGAAAATCACTAGCTAATTATTTGATTATACTTCCTTGCATCTTCAAAGTATTTACCCCTTTTCCTTGTATCTTCAAATCACATTGTTCCTATTATGTCTATGATACGTTTCTTAACTACAAGTCTGGCTGAATGAAAACGCGGAAATATTATCCAAGCCACACCTAGCAAAATTAAACCTGTTGCATTCATTAGTACTCTGTGCTCAACAAACAGCTGTAAGCAGGAGTTGGGTAGAACCCAAGATGTTTCATAAAGGATACACTTCCAAATGATAATTTTACTTTTTGTCTTTGGTTTACGACTCTCCTATATTTTTCTGCCCTATCCTTGAATATTTTTCTTGCTGTAAAACATGTGAAAAATTGAGTATCTAACTAAGGGAAGAAAGGGGGTTTAATAATTTGAAAATGAAAATTTCTCTACAAGATGGAAATCAAATTATCTGTTACAGAACTAGTCCCAAAGGTGCTTTTTCAAAAGGGAACTGGACTGTCTTTGTTTTTCCTTGAAGAACTGAAGAAACTTCTTGGATGAGAAGTGAAACATCTTCAAGGAAAAATAAAGTCCAGTTGCCTCTTGAAAAAGCATCTTTTGAATAACCATGACCTGGATGACTAAGAATCTCCAGAGACATGTTGAAGAGTTAATATCCTGGATAAAGCAATAACACCTAATAATAATTTGTATTTTTTGACGCCAGGGAGAAGTGACTATTTTGTCAAATGCCACTTAGAAAAGTAACAATACTTCAAAAATAAGAGAAATCAGTTGGAAAGCTATTTTTGTTTTATTGTATGTATGCAAATTTTCCTGAATGCCATATCTTTCTATCAGCAATTCCCTATGGCCAGTGTTTAGAGATAGAACTATTTTCACAAGTTGTCAACCCTTCAGGGAGGGCCAGAATAAAAGATAAACACCACAGGGATTCCAGGAACATTTCTTTACTACCAACTGATTATGTGCTATCCACTTAGTGTTGACTCTTGGCAATCACACGTTTTCTCCAGAATGATCTTTCCCCATCCTGGCCCTTCATATCTTCCAAGGTTCACCCATCACTCTAACTGAGTCCGTTTAACCTGGCTGCTGGTTATCCTCTCCTCTTTCCTTTCACTTTTTCCATCTTTACTACAATAGGTTATAATAAGAGTAACTTGAAATCCTATAAGTGTTTCTCGGTCACCTCTCATAAACACAAAGGGTTAGTCAGAGTTTATTTGCACACTTGCTTCAACCTCTGGACCACATAATTACTTCTCAAAGCCTTTCCTTATCCAGATATGAAGTTCCTTTATATCAGGAGTAGACTTTTGATACCCTGTTTCCCCAAAAATAAGACATCCCCTGATAATAAGCCCAATCGGGCTTTTGAACACATGCGCTAAAATAAGCCTCCCCCTGAAAATAAACCCGCCCCAAAAATATTTAAACGCAGAGCTGGAAATCAGTAAGATGGCAAGAGGAGCCCCATCTTGCTCCACATGCCCCAAAATAATAAGACCTCCCCAAAAATAAGACCAAGCGCTTATTTCAGGGTTCAAAAAAATATAAGACAGGGTCTTATTTTCGGAGAAACACGATCACAACATACCCCCTGAAGCATTATGTTAGAGACAGAGGTGATATTCAGCAGGTTCTAACCAGTTCTGGAGAACCAGTAGTGGAAATTTTGTGTAGTTCGGAGAACCGGTAAATACCACCTCTGACTGGCCCCGCCCCCATCTATTCTCTGCCTCCCGAGTCCCAGCTGATCAGGAGGAAATGGGGATTTTGCAGTAACCTTCCCCTGGAGTGGGGAGGGAATGGAGATTTTACAGTATCCTTCCTCTGGAGTGGGGCGGTAATGGAGATTTTACAATATCCTTCCCCTGCTACGCCCACCAAGCCACGCCCACCAAGCCACACCACACCCACCAAGTCACGCCCACAGAACCAGTTAGTAAAAAATTTTGAATCCCACCACTGGTTACAGAATATTAGCAAAATGTCCTAATGTGAAGAACATGTAATCAGATATTATATGGAACAATATCCATCAGTCAAAAACCATTAATACTCTGGGATTGTTCAACTTTTAGCAGAACACCTATCTATATGAAGGTGGAGCAAGACAATGATTTGTTTCATGAAGATATAGAAAACAGATAGTTCACATTCAGTCTCAGACTTGGCTCAAATTCAGTTAGCAATTTAGAGTTGAATGATTCGATCCTATTATAGTCTCGAGAGCTTCTTTGTCTCCTACTGGCAAACTACAGATTATCAGATAAGTGAGGCTGTTGATATCATCTCCTTAGATAACTAATTTATGTTAGATTTCAGAGCAGAACCTGATCTCAGTAGAAGCTCAGTTGTGTAACAGCCATGACATTTCATTTGCTGGATTTTTATCTCCAAAGCGGTAAGCAAGGAAGTAATGCTGGAAAACTAGGAAAACCAGTTGGTCTAGTAGTATTTTGGACTGATAATTAATGTAAGGAAATTAGCTAAGGGAAAATAAAGTGGAAGTGGAAAATGAAAACAGGCTTGATGTTTGTGAGAAAAACCTAAGCAAATGAAATCTGAGAGATGATGAAAATGTAACTTATTTTGAAAGTCTGAAGCAATTAATGTGATAATTTAATCTTATATTTGGTATCTTATTCCAAAAGGGATGGTCACAATAGTTTTAAAGTTTCATGTTATTATAAAAGATATGTTCTTGGTAAATGTTTTGGTTCCCCTTTTATGATTTCAATAATAATAATAATAATAATAATAATAAATAATAATAATAATAATAATAATAATTATTATTATTATTATTATTATTATTATTATTATTATTATTTTATTTCTATACCGCCCTTCTCCCGAAGGACTCAGGGCGGTGTACAGCCTATTTAAAAACAGAATCAACATCAATTTAAAATAATTTAAAAATATTAAATAAATTTGGCTTAATTTAAAACCCCAAAAATTTAAAACATCCAATTTAAAATTATGTTGCTAACCCAGCCTGGCGGAACAACAGGGTCTTGAGGGATACTCATTAGATATGCAAAAACTTGATAAAGCTAAGCTATAATATGGAGTTATTTGTGTAGCAGTGTAAACATCCACATTATAAAACACTGTTAGAAAAAATCCAAATCAATTTGAGGAAATGTGATGAATTATCAGTAAAGAGATCAACAAACAAACCAAATGATTGGAGGTGACACATAAAATGCTACACCTGAAAACAATTTTCTAATTGTTCTTTGCAATCAATGGACTTGTCCAGAGTGAAACAGAAGCAAACAAAATTAGAAAATAAACAGGAATTCATCAGAACTTATTAGTAAAGCAGATGCAGAGATCAACCTGTAATTTACCTGTAGTAAAACAGGTAGAATCTGACAGTGACAAAAACGTACCACATCAAAGACAAAAAATGAAATACAGGTAGCCCTCGAATTACAACAGTTTGATTAGCGACTGTTTGAAGTTAAACGGCACTGAAAACAGTGACTTATGACCATTTTTCACACTTACAACCGTTACAGCATCCCCATGGTCAAATGATCAAATTTGGATCCTTGGCAATTGATCTTGGCAAACCATCATATTTATGATGGTTGCAGTGTCCCAGGGTCATTTGATCACCTTTTGCAACCTTCTGACAAGCAAAATCAATGGGGAGGACAGATTCACTTAACCACAGTGTTACTAACTTAACAACCACAGTGATTCACTTAACAACTGTGGCAAGAAAGGTCATAAAATGGAGCAAACTCAGTTAACAAATGTCTCACTTAGCAACAGAAATTTTGGGCTCAATCATAAGTCAAGGACTACCTCTAATTGGATATTTTTAGGGAAGTACTTGTGAAACAAAGCATTGTTTAGTTTTTACAACACTTTTAACAAGTCTATTATCGCAGCCTGTTGGAAAAAGTTTCATTATGCAACAGTCCTGACTAAACAAACCAGTTCTACTTTGCTACCCTGAGAACAAAATGTGAGGTTATATAGTTTTGTCTGCTAAATAAAAGCATCCACACTTCCAATGTAATTTTTAATTTTATGGCCAAATTTTGAAATATAACAAAAAAAACACTAAGCTGTTTTTATTTTATTTTTTTCAATTCTTTAGAACAATTACAGCTAGTCCTTGACTTATGACCATTCATTTAACAATAATTCAAAGTAAAATAGCCCTGGAAAAAATTATTTACAACTTGCTCTTGCACTTAACACCATCACACCACATGATTGCAATTCAGATGCTTGGCAACCATCTCACTTTTATGACCAATTGCAGTGTCTTGCAGTCATATGATCACTATTCAAGACCTTTCCAATTTCGACAAAAAACTTCAATTGTGAAAGCTGGATTTGTTTAATAGCCACAGTAAAAAATGATTATAAAATTGGTTCAATCATCTGATGACTCGCTTTGCAACATGACTTACAGCATTAATTCCAGTCTCAATTGTAATCATAAGTCTAGGCCCACCTGTAATCAATACAAATAAATGTAAGTAGTATACAAATATCATTTCCCATGAAAATCAGATAAGTGATTTTTCTTTGACACATTCTACTGCATTTTATAGAAATGAGCTGAATATTTCATTTTAATGGTGGAACAATTTATTTTTATATTTGAGGATTGCTAACAATAGAGCGGTATGGGTGAAATTTGAAGCCTCGCAACACAGGTGTGCATACCTGAGTTTCTTTTTTAAGAAAGACAAGAACCAAAATCAAATAATCTTTAGGGGAAATAAAATCAAAGAACATAAGACGTTATTGTTAATGTGTACCAGATAATTGAGAAAGCCAAATGCTACAAATAAGTCAGTATTTGCTTCATTGATTAAAGAAAGGCATCCAATTGTATCTGTCATATCAAGATGTGGAATTTTCTTAGAAAATGGGAATCCCAAGAGAGTTTATTATCCTTATGCAAAACATATACAGATCAAGAAGTCACAGTACAGCTATAACATGGAGAAACATACTGGCTCCAGTTTGGCAAAGGAATGGAGAGAAGGCTGTATACTCGTATTTATTTAATATATACAGAATATATAACATATACAGAATATATCTTGAAGATAGCTGGATTGGACTAAGAAAAGTATGGTTTTAAAACTGGAGGAAGAAACATCAACATTATGCTGACATTACTCAAACAGCTGAAAATGCAAAGGAACTGAAACTCTAATAACAAAAACTGTTACTTTGGAAAGCCATGTATCATAAAGTTTACTCCAGCTTTTGAATATTCCTGATGCAAATTGCCTGTTCTACATTGGGATGCTAAGAAGAAACAGGTTGCATGGATGATAAAGCTCAGAAAGGTCATATTCCAGGCAGAGTGCTTATTCTTCACAGCAACAGACATGACTCCTGCCTTGCTCGTCACTGCATTTTTTTCAGTTTCATTAGTTCTACACCAATGAAGGCCTCTAAGCCACATTGTTACATTCAACCTACAGTATTGTAGTCTGTATATCCTTTGTCATGCAAATCCACTGAAGGACAGTTGCTCTATTGTGTCAATTCTTGAAAGGATGAAAAAAAAATAGCACTCTGTAGCAGAATATCACATTTTAAAATAACCTCAATTAAGACTGCGGTGTAAATTTTTACATACCTTCAAAAGAAGAGATTTCTGCCCTGAAACCCTAATTCCTGATTCCCATAGATTGCAACCTTCAATCAAAGCCTTAGGAAGATTTCTTGTTGACACCCTAGTTTCCTGGGTCATAGTTTGGTGCTTTCTCTCACCTTCAACCAGAAATCCCTGCTCTTGCCACTGGCCCCAAGCAATTGACTCTCTCAATCTAGAACAAGGTGGTTTTATTTCCCAATTCCTGGATATTTTCTTGGTTCTGAATTGTAGTTTCTCTCTCCCCTTAAAAGTTCATCATAGTTGCTATCAGTTCCTTTCTCTTGGGTTTGTGCTCAGCTCACTCCTCTTCTTGGAAACCAAAACTAAGTGGCAGTTTCCAGTCTCCATCTTGCTCACATCTTTCAGGTACCTCTTTCCCTTTGCTCCAGGTGTTGTTCCTCTTTTCCTTTCCCAAGTGCTTCCTCTCACATCTCCCAGTTCTCTCTCTCTCTCTCTTCCCACTTTGTCTGAGGCCAAAGGGAGGGACTTAGGAGAACCTGTTAGGCTAGCCTTGGCAGGTATCTTCTCTCTCTTTCCATCCCCACCCCATTGGATTTTGGAGTCAGTATGAGCTCTCCTGCCACCCTAAATTTGGGATTGTGCATTGGCTGTCTGGAGGAATGTGGGGGAAGGGAAGGATTTGCCAGCGTACGGGGATTACTCATCCACTCACTACGCTGAGCAAGTGCTGCAACGTGATACTATTAAAGGGGGAAAAAAATGCAAAGTAGCCCAGTGAGAACCTGCAAGGTCGGAAGGGAACGGTGAAGAGAAGCAACACCTACAAAGGCTTTCGAACCAGTCTGACCGCAGGATTACCAAAATAGCCGAGGAGCCTCCTTTGGCCAGCCCAGCTATTCACTTCCAGTTCGTGCAATCCGATAGAGCGATATACCTGCGGACTAGAGAGCTACAGCGCGGAAATCAAGAGGCAAGCGCCTTCTCTACGGCTTCCTAAGCACCTGGAAGGAGGAGACCAGGCGCAGAGTCGGGGGTAAAGGCTCTGCCACCCATTACATTGCCAAAGCACGCCGCTAACCACAGGAGCCAGAAGCAGCTTCGGCGCCCCGACACCTGGCTGCGGTGCGAGAACACGTCGGAGAAAGAGGTGGGGAGAGAGACGGCGGTGTCTCGCTGACAGTCCCGCCTGTCCGGACTCCCCAGTCCCAGCATGCAACGCGCCGCGGTTTGAATGGCGCTGCTGTCTACGGCGAGTGGGCCGCGGTATTAGGACGCCGCTGCTGCCAATTCCACGGCTGGATTGGAGTCCCGGGCAGCGGCGGAACCCCTGGCGCGCTGGACCATGAGCGGCAGCAGGTGAGCAAAGGCCGTTGCCGGGCGCTTGTTTCGAAGGGGCGGCGGCCACGCTGCTGCATCCCGCGCTCTCGGCTAAACAGGCCGGGCTCAGATTCTAGAGCGGGGGGTTGCGGGTTCGGGAATGGGGCGATGGCGCTCTTTTCTCTGCGCCCTCCGTTCTTCCCGGCGTGGGGTGGTGGGTGGTTTTTTTTTTTTCTCCTCCTGGGCGCCTGTGAGGAAGGAGGCCCATCTTTTGCTGCCTCTGTTGGCAGGAGCTTTCCTGGGCGGGGATGAAGTTGGCTAGTCTCTACCTGCCTCTGAACCACCCCCTTAAGTGGCGCTTGTTGGGAAGGCTGCACCTGCCCCGCATTGCTTGAGGAAGGATTTCCCCCGGTAGGAATTTTCTCTCAGGTTTGGCTTTGAAATAGAGGAACGTCTTAATACCCGTCAGTCTTGGTCTTTCCATTCGCATAGCTGCTAAATCTGAAGGATGAAAAGCCGATTCCAATTGTTCTAGTTTTCTTTCAGGCTACTTGGCTTTGTTTTCAGAAAAAGCATCTGGACTTTGGCTGCATAGAGGCTCTTAAAGCTGACTTTCTGCCACTTAACAAGAATGAAGTTATTTGTCTGAGTAGAATTAGCCTCTGAGTAAGCATGTTTAGGATTGCATTAGTGTGACTTTGCGGATCCCGTGATTATGAAATTTTGCTACCTCTCTGTATTGCAAAATTCCACTCTGTCCAAAATCTCCCCCCCCCAAAAAAAGCAAAAAGCAGCTATGGATCCTGGATGTTGAGAATTTAAATCTGGAAATATTATTATTAATTAATTGAGTAGTAATTTAGGTAGAGGATAAAAGCCCCTAGTTTACTTTCGGTTATTTGAAGACATATCTGCACATGGGATTTGTCTGCTTAATAGTGAGATTAAAGTGGAAATGCTACTGAAGATAAGTTATAAATTGTAAATGTTGCTAAATTACTAGTTCCGGTAGCTCAAGGCTAATCGACATTGCCAATAAAGATGCTGGGATATATAAATCATAAATAGAAAGAGTCGGTTTGGTTTAGTGGTTAAGACATCAGGCTAGAAAGCTGGAAACTGAGTTCAAGTCCCACCTTAGCCATGAAAATCAACTGGGTGACTTTGGGCCTCTTTAAGCCGAATCCACACACAGAGTAATTATTGTGGGGAAAATAAAACAATGCGTTGGATATGTTTGCTTCCCTGGGTTATGTGTAAAAATAATAAAGGTGTCATACCTGCAATAGTAATAGTATGACATAGTGCAGAATATGAATTATGCCTGTCTCCAGAATTCCCTCTTGGTCTCTAAAAGAGAGACCATGTGTCATAAAGAGAAAAAGGACCAGAAGATAGAAATGCAAGAGGATATTATTTTTGGGAAACAGTAGTTAGATACATTTCTGGAACCAGAATATTTAAAGTACTACCTCCTTGCACCTGAACCAATAGATCAACTGGAACTGTTACTGAAGTACCATAAAATAAGATCACCTCTCTGAAAGGCTCCATAAGAGGAGTTTTCTCATAATAGAGGCTGATTATTTAGTTGCTTTTTAGGCAAATTCTTGTTTTCAGGTGGGCTGCTCACTGCTTTTTTAAAGCAAGATTGCTTATGTGGATGTCCTTAAGGGGCAAATGATGATGTATAGATTTTCTACAAATAAAATATTTTCCCTTAATTATTCTGCTTCACATCTTAGAGGCTGGCAATAGATATATAGAATGTAATCCTTTAAGCCACTTTACAGCAAGGCTTGAACTTATACCACATCACTTTAATTATGTTGACTGGACCGCACTGTCTCTTTAGAAGATAGTGTTTTGGTATTAGCTAATTCTACATGTAGATCCAGAGAATGACATTTAATATTTGTGTGTATCATCTAGGTACCGCTTGCTTATCCCAGGGTGTTTGCCATGTTATAATTTTTCCTTCATTTTAGAAGCTCAAGGTAGCATACACTATATTATATTTTTCTTAGCTGTGCTTCCCCTCTCCCCACACAATATTTTGTATATACAAAGATATTGACTGATTCATACAATATAGGCTCCTCTTTTGTATTTGATTATTTACTTTATTATATAGTTTTTAGTTTGCTTTCTATCATCTCAAAGATTTGAGTCATAGTAGCTTATCACTTTGTGTGACTCAGGCTCAATTATTAGCATCTTCTTGCAGGATTTTTTTAAAAAAATCCCTGCAGTTTAGTTTATAGCCCTGGTATTCTGATAGTTTCTCATCTTAATATTAACCAATTCAGATTCTGCTTTGATTTTTCACATCAGCCAAGCTCTGCCAAACAAAACAGGGTTTTGTTTTGAAAAGACCCAGTGAAGTATTATGCGGGAATTGAGAATAGTAATACTCTTAGATATGTTGCAGTACTGTTTGTACTTATCTGAGAATGAGATCCTTTGAATTCAGTGGGACTTTTTATCATCTATGCACTCCTGTCACTCTTTCCTAAAAATAACACAGTGGATTTCTGGATAAACATGGATAGAATATTTTATTAACTGAAAATTCTGTTTCATTATAAGAGATGAATAGATGTGCTCTATTTTTACTGAGTGTGAAACATACACCATTAAGGGAAAAAAAGCATAAAGGTTTGTGTTATATTGATAAAAGTTGCTGGTAAGTATCTTCACTATTACAAGCATGCCTGTAATGATAATTCTTTTGATACACTGTTGAGGATTTGCATTCTAATTGTTAACTTTAAAAAAAAAACTCTGTAGGCCATGAGAAAATAATCCAAATTTCACTGAACTAAAGTTTATAATAGCTATCATTTGAACTCATCTGCAGTTCAAATGATTAAAACTAAAAAAAAAAAGAGGGTTGCCTTATCTTTGAGCAAAGTCTACACTAGCATTCCTAGATGGAGTCAGAGTCTCTAGACATGCAAATTGGATATTGTATAGTACAAGGAGCTGTCCCAACCTTAGTGGAAAGAAGGAACAAATTTCAGATTCTAAAATCAAAACTGTTTGCATTGTATACAACATTCACAGTCACTTGACTTGTGGAGTACAGAGTAAAAATCGATGTTAATGAAGTTAGCAATACACTTGCTGTATTAGAAACAAAGATAAATTGGGTAAGATTAGCTAGTATTGGGAGGGAATTTACCCTCATAGGTTCCTGATTTAATCTAATAATAATTGATACTTTTAATCTTTATATATTTCATGTGGAAACAATAATTCATACCTTATTGTAACTGTCACACTAACTAATAGTAATTCCCCAAGTGGCTCTCACAAAATATCTGGCTTTTTTCTTAAAGCATTCTGTACCAATCTTTGAGTTGACACAAAACAATGCTGGCATAAAATGTGCTGTCCCTGTTGGCAAGCCCTATCCCGCTATTGCATTTGTTATGAATTATGGCTGATTGATTTTACTCAGTGTGAGCATACTACTTGTTAATGGGAAAGTGATTGATTTCCCTACCCTCTGCCCCATCTTTGCTCCCTTCCTCAGCATGTCTCTTGCCAAAAGGGGCCTGCATCATGAATTGGGTGAGTCATTCCTGTGGGCATCTCCAAAATTAAAAATATGTGAAATAAAGAAAGACATTGAAAGGCAACAAAGTGGAAATTGCCCTAGAAGGGAGGGAGAACTGGCTATTAATTTTCTGCTGGGAATGGGTGACATAAATTTAATATATATATATTCATATATATATATTCATCTAGCCAGGTTTTCCCTACTTAACCAAGGTTTTTTGTAGCTCCAGCTCAGTAGAATCACATCTACTCGGTTCTGGGCTTTTTTCCTTTCTAACAGCTAGCAAGCTCTAACTGCTAGGTGGGAGACCTAAATAGATCCATTTCTAGCTCGTTTGCTTTCATCAGTAGGCCACACCCATATCTTATGTATCCTCTCTACTGAGCTGGAGCTACAAAAAACCTTGGTTACGTAAGGAAAACCTGGCTAGAAGAAAAACACACATAAACCCTACGAAGAAGTAAGAAAATTGATATGCATATGCATATATATAACAGATATATTACTCCTGGTGACTGCCTAGACCAGGGTTATCAAACTTGCAGCATCGCATGACGTATCGTGACTTTTTTCCCCTTCGCTAAACCGGGCATGGGCGTGGCCAGCGCGTGATGCATCTGGACCACGGACCACGAGTTTGACAGCCCTGATCTAGACTATTCCCTGCAGTTTTCTTGATAACATTTTCAGAAGTTTTGACATTACCTTCTTTCTAGTGCTGATGGAGAGTGACTGGCCCTGAGTCAACCAGCTACCTTTGTATGTAAGGCAAGATTAGAACTCATGGTCTCCTGGTTTCTAGCCTGATGTCTTAACCACTATACCAAATTACAAGTAACTAATTTTTGTAGCATGGGAAAATGGAAATATACCCTCTTCTTTTCCAAATTAATTTCCGATTTACTTTCCCCTACCTCATTGAAAGCCTATAGAGAAATTTGTTAGACAATTGATGGGGGAAAGAAGGGGAAAGAAGGCCACAGTTATGAAAGGATCTTGTACGCATCAAATGGAAGAGGAATAGCTGTGGCAAAGACTGGCTAATGTTTTGAGGAGAGTGCATGTCTCTACCTCCTAGCATTTCCAAAAAAAACCCACTTTTGGTTTGGAAGAGGTCACCTGACTTAATAGGAAAGTGAGGGAGTAAAAAAAAACCTCACAAAGTGACAGATTTTGTGTACCATAGAGCTGTGGTGGGACACAGGTACTCTTCAATTTATAGCCACAATTGGAACTGGAATCTAGGTTGTTGAGTAAAGTGATTGTTAAGCAAAATCTATCAAAGAGCCTTGATAGTACAGTGGTCTAAGCACTCTGTTATTAACACAGCTGCCTGCAATTACTGCTGGTTCGAATCTCTCCAAGGCTCAAGGTTGACTCAGCCTCCCATCCTTTCTAAGGTAGGTGAAATGAGGACCCAGTTTGTGGGGGCAATAAGCTGACTTTGTATAAAATATACAAAAGTATGAAGGCT